AAATAATGATCTTTAAAAAAGCATCATATGACCCCTTTAAAAGCTACGGCTGATGGGACAAAATTAGATAAACTGAAGGGAAATCATATTTACTCATAGGCCACTTATTCTGTGATCAGTATTACTTCATTACGTGTGATATATTACAAGACCACAATCAGGTTTAGCATGATTGTTTAACCATATTAAAATATATTAAGATATTAAAATATAATTAAAAAGGCATATTAACCAAATGAAAAAAATACTGAGCAAAACATTTTTTATTAAAATTTTCATTGGACTTATGCTGATATAATATAATATAATATAATATAATATAATATAATATAATATAATATAATATAATATAGATAAGTATTGCAAGCACAACAGCTGTGTTGATGCATGTTGATGTGTGTAAATGGAGCTCTTAGAACTGTGAATCAATAGATCAACACTGGATACAAAGCCCCATAGATCTAACGCATGACCTTAAAAAACATCCAAGGAACATTCAACAACAAGTAATGAAATAATTAAGTTGCACTGTAATTCTATACTTCCTCTTCTTTATATTCATGAATTATTCAGGTATGAGGCTGACCTTTGAACTTCCCGCTCTCCAACAGTGCCCCCGACTCCTCCAGCGAGAAGAACTCCTCAACGGAGACAAAGTTATAGTCGACTCCCGTGATCTCACCGTCTCGTGGCTGTCTAGTCGTACCTGAGGGTGACATCAAAAAGTAAGGGATGCATTAAATACAGCAAGCCCAAATATCTTACAGAACTATTGACAGATTGCTGACCCACACTACAGCCTTCAGCTCAATCCCCTCTCCATCCAGCCTTGACTGACAAGTTAACAGGGCTATGAACAGCCCAGACCAATTACAGCGATACAGCCTAGAAAATCTGACACAGCCCTCCCTCTTTCCACAGGCTTTGAACGGCTCCACACTGACACAACATCAATCACGAATTCTTTATCACTCCTTTCTGCCTCAATATCTCTAATTAAGAGTCTGATAAGCGAAATCCCCCAGTACATCACAACATGAACATTAGTCCCAGCGCTTCGCTCGGCGGTCCTGCACTCTGCAGTGTGTTTGTTTGTGTGTATTGATATATTCACCCACAGTTCACACAGCCAGGGGCCTGCTGGAATGATTAGACCGAATTACTTACCGCCACACCCACCACACGTCAATCACAGCAAGACAAGAGGACACTCGGAGCGAGGAGAGCGAAATGCATCGTCTGTCTAATTTAAGGCTGGCCTCAAGGGTGTGTGTGGGAGCATATGTGTGTGTACAAAATTAAGCAATGCCAAATGCACATGCAATGAGAGGATTCTGGGCCAGGATACTGCTGTGAATGCTGGAAAGGTCTCTACATATCACGTGTTATGCATTTGCAAACTGTGTGTCGTGATGTATGCACAACTGCGTGTTCGTTTAATAATCAGTAATATACACGATGACTTTATTGATGTTATCATCGATCATTGTGAAGACTAGCACACTGCTGTGTGTTTTGCAGCGGCAGGCTGCTGGTGTTTGGACTGTATTGAGCGGGTTTCTTCCATGCCAGTGGACATGTAACAAGATGGATATGGTTAATAGATGTGGGAAAGAAACGATCAAACTAAGTTCAGTACACAAATATATGCCAGAAAGAAGAGCAAAGGCAATTCAGTATGCAAATATTATGAGGACAAATTCTTTAATAACATTCTCTGTGTCTTCATGGTAAAATTATACATTTGATTTAAATTGAAGCAAATGCAACTATTATTCCCAATTGGACCTTTATGTATCACAATATTATATTTGTATCTCAAATTTCTGCCTATTTTTCACAATTGTGCCTTTATTTCTCAAAACTCACCAGTGCAATTATTTTTCACTATTTGACTTTTATATCTCAAAATTGTGCCCTTTACAGAATTGTGCCTTTATATCTCACAATTGTATATTTATTTATATCTCAAAGTTACAGCTATTTTTCACAATTGTACCTTTATTTCTCAAAATTGCATCTTTATATCTCACAAAAGCTATTTTTATTCTCAGTTTGACCTTTATATCTAAATATTGTGACTTTTTTCATAATTGTACCTTTATATGTCACAACTGTATTTTTATAGGCAAAGTTAAGCTATATATTTGCTATATAAATACTTATCCAACATGCTTTTTGGAATTATCGTGTAGTTTGTTATTACTGTTTTGTTTTTTTTTGTTTTTTTTACTTAATCCAACGGCAAATTTGTATATTTTAATATAAATATACAGTAGTAATGGGATGGCAATATAGTCAGTAGCATCAGAACTGTTTCTGGTCACTGAAATAGACTTGAAAGGCAAACAACAGCTTGCTACTATTGCCAAAATATTCTTCTACAGATCTTCCACTCTTTTACAAATCTACAAATACCGGCAAATTCCCAAAGGCTGGAGAGGATTTCAGTTATACTTCCTCACAGACACCAGACAAGCTCAGTGTGAATAATTCTCTCAGAGCTCCAGCTAAGTGATTGAAGCACACATCAGAGACATCAAGAACACATTATGGCTCTCTCCCTCCATGAATTAATAATGAGCTTGTTAATTATTTGTCAGGTTTCTGACCCTTTGTGTCATAATGATGACCTACTATAAATAACCTCACCGTGACCTCAGCAAACCCAAGGTCCTTCTTATGACAGATCGAGAGACCTACAGCTAGACAAGAGCAAGAGTGACACTTCAGTTCACACTCAGCAGAAGTCTTCCTTCTACATTAGTAAACCGTATTCAGCAGGGCGTACTGATACAGCTTATTTGCACTGTGGTGGAGGACCACAAACTATCCTCACGGCACAAACACAAAGCAAACTAATGACAAACACATGATGCCAAAGGGAAAACTATGCAACTTCAATCAATCTTTGATGCATCAGCTGAGCAGCATTGGCGTATAAAAGAGTTTTCAAGTAATTTATACTTTTCAAAATGCAATCAAACCAGCTGAATTTGAAAGTTCATTGTACATCATACAAAAGCAGAGTAATCTGTGCAGTGTGCAATCTATTCTCTAAAGAGACCCCCTCTGTACTCACCCATTATAAAAGCCATTTAATTTGATTCTATTGCATGAATAATTGATAAATGGCCGACAGTTTCTTAATTCCTTTAAGTGGTTTAATCCTTTATGTCCTGCGCTCCTCTTTAGCAGTGGACCATGTGAACTCTCTCAGCCTGCTGGGCCAGTCGATGTCTATTGTTCAATGGCTTTGGTTTAATTGAACAGCAGCTATATTTGTTTTATTCTAATGTGCTCTCATTTGGAATCAATACAAAATGACTTTAATATCTGAATACACATCCTAAAAAAACTATATAATCTGTTGTGGATGGTAGGAATCAGATGGACATATAGTGAGAATTAATTTACTGCCCTAGACATTGATATTATAACCTGCTTGTAGGCATACTGTTGAGCTCTTTATGAACTTGAAATGAGGAATGATGGGATAAACAGCATTACACAATCCAATCCAGTCAGAAAATACAAACAGAAAGTGAGTTAAATAGACATCAAATGAAATACAAATATGAAAGTAAGATGTTAGCTGATGATTTAAGTATTCTACTGTATTTTGAATGCATTACTGCAACATATCTGCATACTTTCCTGCTGCCTACAGCTTTATGAGAAAGACATTATGTAATAATAGTCTGATACAGTCATACACTGTCTAATACAATCATTATACTGCAGTCATTTGACTAGACACACACTTGTGCTCTTAGTGAGTCGCCTTGCTGTATAAAGCTGCGGTCACGTGATTCTATTAAGCACAAAAATATATCACTCACAAATATTGGGCAACATAGTTTATATTTAATTGGAAAAAAATTTGGTATTGAATGAATTACATTTAGACAGCGGATATTCAAAAGAAGCTACAATTACTGTAAATAGTGCTGGATACCATGTGCACCGTATGTAAACAGATACAAATAGCATCATATTTACACTAAGTGCAAATACTGATACATGATATTCATACAAAGTTTAAATAGAAATCATATGCTGTTTGCACTAAGGGTAAATTATAAAAGCAATGGTGGATAGAGTTAGTGAAAATTGCCTTCTGTTGGTGATTTGCACTTAGTGTAAATAGACAGTGCCTTATTTTTATTATCACACCCTGCTTGGAATATTCTGAAATTGGCTTTTCTGTGAAGAATATATGCAATACTGAGTTTTTTTTTTGGCTAAAGACAATGGGTCCACTCACTCAATACAGATACAAGCAAAATATACTCATCACAATATAACATCCATCAAAAATCAACATAAGGATTTAACATTTTTCTTTTTTTTTGTCAGCATATTCAAGGTCAGGCTTTGACTCTGGCTATTTCCATTGATTTATTTATTTAATTTTTGACCTTAGATCAAGGCGTGATGGTTTATGCATTCACTTCGCCCCAATTACCGTCAACAATACCGCTGCATACATCGGACAGGTAAAGTATGACTACCAAGCTGGAGGCATCCAGACTGTTTACTCTGCTATTTTCCATCTCTGTCAGATGAAACTAGAACTCTCAGCCGGAGGCCCCGGCAGGCCTTCCTGTCCACTCTGCTTAGCCAAACTAAAGCCGCTTCAGGGTCAGGCTGAGAGATCTACACAGTTATGCTACACTGAAGGAATAATTCACCCAAAAATGCTAATTCTATCATCATTCACTCATGTCGTTCCAAACCTGTATGACTTTCTTCCTTGAGTGAAGACATTTTTCCAGACAATGAAAGTGAATGGGCACAAGAGACAATTGTTAATTGTCATTGTATGGAAAAGAGCAGCTTGGACATTCTGCTAGATAAATAGTATATTACGAAAGCATTTGGCTCATGAGTCTGAACGAAGCATTCAAGATACTCAGCTGTCAGAAGAGCTGAGAGAGCTGGTCTCAGAGTATAAAAAACATGTAAAAGTCAAAAGGGTAACAAAGAGAGTGAAAAGATATGAAAAGAAACTGCTGACAAAATGAAAATGTTCCTATAAATTTATACAACACCTGCCTGGCAGCACTGCATTATAATAGCTTTGCTATTATTACTAACAGTACACTTTATTTACATTATTGTCATTACATATTCACTACAGCACTGTGAATGAAATTTGTATTATCAAATGACCTGCATTGAAATGAGAGAAATCTTTATTATTTGATGATTCATAAGCTGTTTTGCAAATTAAATCTGTATCATTGGATGTGAAGAAACTTTCTATTATTTTTGTGTTAGTGTTGCAGAAATTATGCACTTTACCTTAAAAGCATGTGAATAGAGTGCTTTTTCATTTCAACCACTGAATGAAAAGATTGTTTGTAGTTGATTGTTTCACTTTTTATTTCGTACTTGGTATTAATGGGACTTTCAATGAGAAAGCGACTTTTTAAAACAGTAATGTAATGAATACATCATACATACAATAGGAGTAACACAACAATATAACACATTATTTTCAAGTTATGTTATCAAACACAGATGAGCCAGTTATGTGTAGCCTACAGATTTTCATATATTTATCAGTAATTGTCTGATGCAACTTAAAGGGGTCATATGATGCTAATTTCAAATATCATTATTTTGTGTATTAGGTGTAATAGAATATGTTAGCATGCTTTAATATTCAAAAAGCACATTCTTTTTCACATACTGTACATTATTGTAGCTCCTCTATGCCGTCTTTCTAAAACGTGTTGATTTCTACAAAGCCCCTCTTTCCGAAAAGCTCATTGTGCTCTGATTGGCCAGCTGACCCAGTGTGTTGTGACTGGTTGAACATCTCAAGCGTGTGTCGGAAATGTAATCGTAAGCTTCAGCTTCCAAAGCAATTATAAAGACAGTTAATAATGTTGTAACAGCCTTTGTGCACAGCTGGTCGTATACTCTCCCAGGTTCAGAAAACTGTTCTGTAAAATGCGCAGCACAAGCTCAACAGTTCTGTTGTACAGACGGAACAGTGTTGTAAATACATCTTAACCACTGATTCCTAATTGTGTCTACTTTCGGAAGGCTAAATAAAGTGCTTTTGTTTTCGCATTGAAACACACAGCGTCTCCATGACATTGCGGTTACAACACCATTAACCACGCTTTCTTTCTTTCCGTATTCATTTGGGTGGCATTATGCAAATAACAACATCATCATTATGTCTCTAGCTAAGGAGAAATATCTGAGCAGTGTGTGATGCTGTTGAGATCTTTTCTAAAGCTTTAAAGGAGACAAATATGAGAGATCCGGAGTCTCTTGCTGGAGAAAAATCTGAGCACAGTGTGTGATGTTGTTGAGATCTTGTTTGAAACATTGGAGGAGACAATTATGAGACCACCAGAGTCTTTAGTTCAGGAGAAAAATCTGAGAACAGTGTGTGGTGATGATGATGAGGTCTCTTCTAAAACTTTAAATGAGACAAATGTGAGAGTGTTAGAGTTTTTGTCTCAGGAGACAAGTTTGAGAAGCAGGAGACTCGAGCAAAAATCTCCATTCGATGTTAAAATAACCTCATTTCTGTCTAGAAGAAATATTTGAGATGTTAAAGAGATCTCACTTTTGATTTTTCTTTCCTCTGGGATAAGACAATATAAGAATGAGGAAACAGACCACTTTGAAAAATTAATAGAAAAAAAATCAGTGACTGTAGGAAATAGGAAGCATTAGCAAGACGGCTGCTCACTGGGTGGTCTTGTTTAAAGGACTTTGATAAGTTCTCTGCATGCAAAAACGGACATCATAATCACATTCCTCTGAACAAATCTGTGTCCTTTAAAGCTTTGACTGCCTTGTGATGATTATTCATAATCTGAACTCAGGTCACTATCATAATAGAATCAGCTTTTTCAAATGCAATCTGTCAGTCTGGCAAATTACGCTGTGAAATCAATCTTAATGTGATAATCAGATACAGTATCTTGAATATACCATCAAAAAGGGCTAAATTTAACGTCTCCAATTATCATTATCCCCAAATATTGCATGATATATCAACATAGAGTATTATCTGCAAGTTCAAATACAATGGATGACTGAAAATTAAACTGCACAATGGCTAAAATCATTATCACACATCAGCAGCTGACACATCTGCAAACATTCCTGTTTGTACAAACAGCTTTTGTTCTCCAGGACTAACTGTAGCATTTTTAGGTGAGGACAAAATTGGGAATTCAAAGTACCTAGCTGTAGGGGCCCTATCCTCCTTCAGCAGACTGAGATGAAGAGGAAACTAACCAGAACAGTGTGTTTTGTGTGTTCACTGTTCTGTGTAAGTATTTGAATAATGAATGTTTGAGGGTGTCCATGTGAGAGCAGCACGTGCAAATCTTGAAGTGTGTTGCTGTATTACAAATGAAGCTTATTTGTGTATTGGAATAGCCCAAGACAAGCTCAAAGGCATGCCTGCAGTTATTGTTTATGTGTGTGTGTCTCAGCAAGCAGAATGGCACACAACGGGCATCGTCAAGCTCGGCATGACCTACAAACACACACCCACACATGCTCAAACACATGTGCAGAGCCAGACGGCATCATGTCCTTCGGGCGAACTATGAGAACCGACTGAAAACTTTTCAAACAATGTCTGAGGAACAATGAAAGAGAAAAACAGAGCGCCAGCCTCTCCAGGAAGTTCCTGAAGTGGCCACGAAAGTTTCACAATGTATTCAAAGTCCCCTTAAGGCAAGTCAGTTCACTCGGCGGCCATCTTCCCAGATAGCACATGTACGTCTGCAAGATGTCTGTTAAAGATTGCTTCATCTGGAAAGCATCTGCTGTGTACAAACATCTGATAAACGTCTTTAAGATGTCAGTTTTACATACATTCTAAATCATAAACATCTTAAAGACATCTTCTGAATGTCTATTTGACATCTGATAGGAAACATCCTATAGACGTCTTTCAGATGTAAATGCAGATAGACATGTCCGTGACGTACATGTGCTATCAGGGTTGGTAATACCCCAGACAACTACTTTCTATGTAAGTAATAGACATGTACATAGACAAGTACAGCTCCTATGAAATTGAATAGGGAATGGCTAAAATCTCCAAAACAGTTTGTCAAGATTCTGCTTAAATAATTTATTTCAAATCAGCAACAAAATCTGACAAGATTGATTGACAGCTTCTTTACATTAAATCACACTATAAACCTGTATTTTTTATGGTTATCTACCTAATGCACATTTTAGAGTAAACAAACTTGATCAAAAATGGTGACTGCATCTTTTAACTGAAATACAGGACTTATATACCTATGATCTCCCCCTCCTTATATGTCTCTGGTAATAATTCCGCTGTAAAAACTAGCAGAACTTCATCTACTTAACAAAAGCTTATGATTTTGATGAAGGTTAATCCAAAACTGTGTCTTATCGCTGCACAAAGATTAAAATGAGAAAGAAATTACTCAAAATATAATTAGGATTTTAAAGTTCAGTATAAAGGGCAGAGAAAAATGAAGCAACAGGGAGTTGAGTGGAACAGAGGGTGTGAAAGAGAGACGACTGATTGAAAAGAGCATGAAAAGCAAAGTGAAAAGCAAGGAAATGTTAAGAGGCCGTCTTCAACGGTTCTCACTCACAGAGCGTCAAAGATATGCATTCAAAACACCACTGCTCATATTAAAGGATTGTATAAAGTATAAAGACGGTTTCTTCAAACATTTCTTAGGGTTCCATTAGAAATAATACAGCATGTTGGGTTTGAGGATGAGAATGCCATGTAAATAATGACAGAAAAAAATGTTTATTTGGTAACTATCTTCACCTTTCCCTTCGCTATCTCTCTTTCATTCTCCGCATCCTTCCTTCCTCGTCGCAGTGAAACCAATTGGAGCTGTCAACACCTGCTTTCTATTAAATGGATCAAACCTCAATTAACACTTCATCAGAAAAACTGCAGTACCTTGAGCTTGATCAGTCTGCGTGCAAGATGTTAAGTGCTACTGCATGAAATAAGCTCATTTTCTAGTAGTTTATTGGGTTGTTTAAACTTGTGTGTGTATGTATGTTTAACCATAGAAAAGAAGAATTACAAATGAATTAATGCAATGAGATTAAATGAAGCAAATGGGGACTTTTGCTTTGGTCTTCTGCTTCTCAGATTTGTCTCCTGAGAAAAAGACTAAGAAAAAGAGATCTTAAGATCATAAAATGTAAATAAAATAAAAAGGTTATCAGATAAAATGAAAAGATTTCAATATTAACTAAAACATTTTGTTCAAAATTTTCTATAACCAAATTATCCGAGTTAGAATTTCCACATTAATTTAATCTGATATCCTTGCTGTATATAATGGTTTCTAAATAGTGATATATCTATAGTGTCTCATTTGGTTTTATTTTGTCCTAAGGACTTTCAAGACAAACAGCTGAGACAGAGTTGATACCTACAGGCAGTAACAAAACATTGCTCTGTTTGTTTAAAGGGGTCATATGATGCTTTTTTAAAGATCATTATTTTGTGTATTTGGTGTAACAGAATATGTTGACATGCTTTAATGTTAAAAAAACACATTCTTTTTCAAATACTGTACATTATTGTAGGTCCAATATGCCCCGCCTCTCTCAAACGCTTCGTTCTCTACAAAGTCCCTCCTTCCGACAAGCGCAGTCTGCTCTGATTGGTCAGCTGACCCAGTGCATTGTGATTGGCCGAACACCGCAAGCACTTGTCGGAAATGTAACGCCCCTTACCATAATCGTGAGCTTCATCTTTCAAAATAAATGTATCAATAGCAAATACTTAAACTAGTAACAAAACATACTTACAGTCGCTGATTCAGAAGCACCAGATTGTCATAGCAAAGTCAGAATTACCTCCTCTCCTAGGTTCATGAAACGGTCGTCCATAAAATGCATTGCTGTTCTGTTGTAAGTGATCTTAAAGATTCCTAAATGCATCTACTTCCGGAAGGCCAAATAAAGTGCTTTTGCTTTCATACTGAAACACACAGCGTCTCCCTGACATGGCTGCTTCAACACTAACTGCTGTTCCTGAAACCACGCCATCTTTCTTTGCGTGAACATTTGGGCGTATTATGCAAATATTCCCACATAGTGACCTAGATATGTGGGGGCGTGTTAGAACAAGTCGTTTTAGGGGGGTGTGGCAGAGTCTTAACTTTTATAAAGAATATCTCTTTGGGTTTGAGACTTTAGTCTTTGCAACTTCAGGGATCTTATCTATTCACGAACAGCTTGTAACACTCCAAAGAGAAAGGAAAACTTGAAATCGCATCATATGACCCCTTTAAGCAATCAGACACAACAACAGCTCATCCAATGACGTGAGTTTGGGGAGGAGCTATCTGTTTGTCTGACCAATGACAGAAATGGGGGCGGATCTGGGAAACCTGTTTGGAAAACAGTCACTTTTTTCTGTTTGTGGTGCTAGTAAAACTACACCCTTCTCCTTCAAATGAAACATAAATTATTTTATTAAAAATTTTTTTTTTGTTTTAAAGAGCAACATCTGAACAATATTTTTTGGGGTACTCACAGGGCACAGCTCTCAAGTAGAGGTTTTCTCGGATCACCTGCTGGAGTTGACTGTCTATTGAACCTGGTGTGAAACATTTGCTAAGGTATAACCTTAGATCCTTGCATAGAGTTGAGCCTGGGAAAAAGGACAGAAAAAGAATTAATAAAGGGAAAGATGGAAAAGCGAACAAACAGAGACATTTAGATTTTTTTAAACACATACAGTAAGAATATCCCATACATTAACATTTACAAATGAGACAATGTGCTTACCCACCTCAAGATCTGCAATTCAAAAAAACTGAAGAGCTTGCGAAAATAAACACACACAAAGATCAATTCTGCCCATTCCCTCGAGGCGGTATTGATTAACCTTTGTAGATATTAGAGGTGTTTCTAATCAATCAAATGAAGCCAGGGTTGCTCTACCTTCCGGCCAGAACTGCACAGAAATGCTACCGAAGACTACAATGAATTCACATGTTGATGGTCAGTATAATGCCGTATTGTAGAAACACATTCGGGTTATAATGAAAAGTGTGTGCCATACAGAGACATTCTCCAACACACACATACACAGCCCTGGATTAAAGTGAAAAATGTCACACACACAGTCTTGGCACGGCTGCCCAGTACTTCACTCAACATGGCTGATCTCTTTATTTCATCTGCTGTGGTTTATGGTCTCTGATGACAGGCCACTTGGCTGTTATAGATGAACAGAGTGCCTCTCGAACCCATCAAAATGACAGACCCACCCCCACTCCACCTCTCCTAGTAATAAAACATAGCTCACAGTTCTCATAAAGCAACACATGAGCACCACATGAGCACACACACGCACACATCATATAGGTATGAAATGACCGCTATGATATTCCAGGAGGACACTATTGCGGAACTCTACTCAATTCAGCCAAATACTCATACTTTTTAATACTCAGACTTTGTCTCAGCTGTTTCTCTTGAAAGTCCTTAGGACAAAATAAAACCAAATGAGACACTATAGATATATCACTATTTAGAAACCATTATATACAGCAAGGATATCAGATTAAATTAATGTGGAAAGTCTAACTCGGATAATTTGGTTATAGAAAATTTTGAACAAAATGTTTTAGTTAATATTGAAATCTTTTCATTTTATCTGTTAGCCTTTTTACTTTATTTACATTTTATGATCTTAAGATCTCTTTTTCTTAGTCTTTTTGATTTCCAATCTACCTTTTATTTCTAAAATTTTAGAGAAAGTTGTTTTTAATCAACTGCTAAGTTATTTAGATTCAAATTGTGTGTTTGAAACTTTTCAGTCAGGTTTTAGGAAACATCACAGTACTGAGTCTGCCCTTTTAAGAGTGTTAAATGATATCTTGATACCAGTTGATACTGGTAACTCTGTAGTACTTTTGCTTTTAGACTTAAGTGCAGCATTTGACACTGTAGACCACGGTATTCTTATTTCCCGTCTTGAACACTGTGTGGGTATTAATGGTTCTGTCCTAAAATGGTTCAAATCTTATTTAAAAAATAGAACTTTCTCAGTTTGTGTAGATGGGTGCTCATCCTCTAAATCAGTGTTGACATGTGGAGTTCCTCAAGGTTCTATCCTTGCTCCAATTTTATTTTCTTTGTATATGCTCCCGTTGGGTTCCATTTTTAATAAGCACAAAGTGTCGTTTCATTGTTATGCTGACGACACGCAAATTTATGTGCCTTTTAAAAAAAATGACAACCAGAGTTTGAGTGATTTAACTGCTTGTCTGTCTGATATTAAGGCTTGGATGTCTCATAATTTTTTGAATCTCAATGAGAGTAAGACTGAGGCAATTGCGTTCGGTTCTTTAGCTGTATCTGGCAACATACAGCAAGTGCTGGGTGATCTGGCTGCATATGTCAAGCCCTCTGTAAAAAATGTGGGTGTTGTGTTTGATTCTGCTTTGACTTTTGATAAGCAAGTAAATGCAGTAGTTAAATCAAGTTTTTTTCAGCTCAGACTCCTTGCTAAGGTGAAGGGTTTTTTAACTTGTGCTGAGTTCGAGAGAGCTATACATGCTTTTATCTCATCTCGACTGGACTAATGCAATTCAATGTATATTGGTATTAACCAATCATGTATGAATCGCCTACAAACAGTACAAAATGCAGCTGTTAGACTTTTGAACGGCACTCGCAAATACGAACATATTACCCCTGTCCTACTCTCTTTGCATTGGCTGCCAGTCCATTTTAAAATAGAGTTTAAAATTTTACTTTTTGTTTTTAAGGTTTTAAATGGACTGGCACCTTCGTATCTTTCTGACCTTTTGAGTTTACACAGTCCAGCTAGATGTCTAAGGTCATCGAATCAGAAACTTTTATTGGTTCCTAGATCTAGGCTGAAGAGAAAAGGTAACCGGGCTTTTGCCATAGCCGGCCCTAAATTGTGGAACAGCCTTCCAATCTCTATTAGAACAATTGCAACAGAATCCCTTTTTAAAACAAGGCTTAAAGCCTACCTCTTTGAGAAGGCTTTTAGTGTATGAGCCAACAGGAGTTTATTATTTCAAATTATTATTTGTTTGTCATGTCTTACCATTTTATGTATTTTGATTCCTTTTAAACTATATTGTTCAGCACAATGGTCAACCATTGTTGTTTTATTGTGCTTTATAAATAAAATAAATGAAAATGAAATTAAATTAGTGTGGATTGCATTAGGGTCAGGGATCTGCACAAAGTACAGTATTAAACTTCAGCATGTAACTAGTCCTGCATTGTTTGTGTTATGGACATGAATGACACCTCAAATCATAGCTTGTTACTTTTCTAAACATTAATAAGATTTCTGCCTTCCGGAAGATAAAGCATGCAAAAAAATCCCATGGTTTACAGTAAAGGAGGGAATTAATTTGTGTCTATATACCAGAATAAATAAAGAATTAGAATTAATAAAGAACATAGAAACCACTCAGAGCACTGTAGCAGCCTCCTTGGAATGCCTTAGCAACCGCATAGTATCACACTAAACACCATTCAGAACACCTTAGCACTGCCCCTTGTACCATCCCAGAATAGCCAGCAACTAAACACCACTCAGAACACTTCAGCAACTAGCAATGACCTGGCAACTTTCTTGAATACTCAAGAAACATTATAGCAACCAAAATGTCTATCGCAATTCTCTAGCAGCCACCAATAAATACCACAGCAACCTCATATCAATGCACTAAACACCATTCAGAACACCTTAGCAATCACATAGCAATGACCTGGCAACAACCCACAACACACTACTGCATAGCAACATTAAGCACCACCTCAACAACTGCACAGAAATCTAGAAATGCCCTAGCAACCACAATAATGTCCTAGCAACACTTTAAACACCACTCATAACACCTCAGCAACAAGCAGTGAGCTGGCAACCACCTAGAACAACCTCGAACCAACAAAACAAACAATTTCCTAGCAACCACACAGCGACACATTAAACATTTTATCAGAAACACCATAGCAACCATCAAAAATACAGCAGCAACCACATAGCAACATGTCAAAAACACTCAGAACACCTCTGGCGACCACTGAAAACACCATAGAATTGCCCTAGCAACCACCAAAAATACTGTAAATTACAAAGCATTAAATGCCACTCAGAACAGCTCAGCAGCCATACAGCAATTATCTGGCAACCCAAAAGCATCGCTAGATAACTATGTTCGTAAATTTCACTGAACTCTACTGGGTACGACGGAACTTGTGACCATAATTACTTTTCGGAAACGCACCCCATCACACATCATGGTGGCAAATATTGCACAAGCAAGCATCACTCAAATTTTCTTCTTCAAATATAACATTTAGTTTAATAATTTATCAGCCGGTAGCAATTCAGTAAATTGCAGAAGTGCAAAATCAACATGAAACAATGGAAATGAAACAGGTCTAAACGAAGCAAATCCTCAGGCGTTCATTATGATCAATTCCACTGTTGGAAAGACAGAGTTGCTTTTATAAAGACTTGGATGTATTTCAGCAGGGACAGTACATATTGATATTTTTTTAAATAGAAGTGCCCGAATTAGCACAAAGCTCCTCTTCTCTGTGGCCGCTGCGTTTATATAGGATACACAGGCAGATCAAAAGACAATATTAATATCAGAACAGGATGTGTAAGTCTGTATTTCTAGGTCTATGAGATATTCTCATCAGCTCATGCAACATGCAACAGTGAATTACAACCTTACTGACAAAGCTCAATTTAATACTCTGCCGTTAATAGTGTTAGAGGTGTGAGAACGGCAGAGAGAGAGAAAGAGAAGAGAGGATGCAGAGGACTCAAGTTGTTCATCAATCTAATAGAGGACGGAGGAAGTCATGGTCAGGTGTGACAAACTGGTTGACAAAAAAAATCATCATGCCATGACACCTTGTGATAAATATCAGCGCCCCCTACAGACCCATGTGACATCAATACCACCATCCTGCAACCAGGGACCCAACTCTCTATCAACAGTTGACAAAGATGGATTTTGTTCTGCTTCAGAAAACATTTTTTGTTGTCAGAGTATGTCATACTGGTGTTGTTGTTAACTAAAACTGAAACTATTAAAATTTATTTTCGTTAATGAAGCTAAATTAAAAGCTTAAGTTGATATAAAAAAATGAGTAAAACTAAAACTGAAATAAAATTAAATTAAAGCTAATATTAAAACAAAGCTTAGAAAAGTGTCAAAAGCACATAAAATTACTAAAACTTAAACTAAAATTAAATATTAATAAATCATATTTTAATAAATATTAATCAATCATATTTTAAATTATACTAAAATAGCTCAACAATACTGTAAAAAACAGTAATATTGTGAAATATTAGTACAATTTAAAAGCAATGTTTCCTATTTCAGTATATTTTAAAACGTAATTTTAAACAAAATGGCATGAATTTTCAGAAGTTATTACTCCAGTCTTAAGGGTCAAATAATCCTTCAGAAATAATTCTAATATGCTGATTTGCTGCCCCATTATTATTATAACAGTTCTGCTTAACATTTTTGTGGACCATAAAATTATCAAGGATCACTAATAATGATAAGAAACACCATTGGAGGAAAAAAAAATATTTAGAGAAAAGAAATCCACGTTCAACCCAGACAACTGAGAATGTACAGTTCCAACATTACCTGGAGACACTGTCTTGATGCGGATTGGATGGGGGCAGGAGTTTAGGAGCCCACGCACATCTCCTAAAGTCAGGCCCAAAATATGAGTTCCCCCGATTTCTAAGATGATATCGCCAAGTAAGAAAAATGTTTTTTAATAATTGTACACTGTAAAAAAAATGTCAAAGTTGTAAAAACAATAATTATTGGAGTATGTTTTACAAGAAAATGCTGTTTCATTTTTATCTACTTCAAAATTTCATGTTAAATTCATTGTTACTTGCCTTTTTTAAATCGACTAGCCATTTCTGAGTGAAAATTGTTCCTACACCATTTTTTTCAGCGCAATAATTCTCACATTATACAGATGAGAACAGTCCAATTATAGAATTAAAAAAATAAATAAATAAAAATAAACAAACACATATTAACTTCAAATGTTTTCAAAGGAAAAAATAAATAATTAATCAGAGGAACAAAACATTTTCACCCAGTTCTCACTTGGTAACATTTATTAAATTAAATGGAGTTTCAGCTTTCTTTAGTAAAATTCGAGTGGACAGATCCTCTGATGTAAAGGTGACAGACCATGATTTAAAGAGACTATGATTTTTAAATCTCAGAGCTTAAACAAGCAGAGATGTCCCACTAAGTGACAGTTGGCTGGGCTCACAAGAGGGGCAGGTGCAGTCTGAGCGAGAGCGCCTTGAGACATGACAGTATTGGAGCAGCGCTATCATTCCCTCGCCGGCCCCGTCCAATCTCTTACTCAAGAGCGACTTTAAAGCGGCAGTGATGTGTAGATGTCCAGCGAGAAACAGATAAGGGAAAGAGAGAGATAATCAGAGAGGAAGATCGAGACAGGACAGATGGTGAGGGATCGCGAGGGGCTGACAGAATGAAGGAATGCACGTAAGAGGAGGGCAAGGAGTTGGGTTATGGAGGAAAAGACTGAGGTAGGTTAGTTAGAGGACTGATGCCAGAGCAGGAGATAGCAGGACACAAGAAAGGATAAGGATTAGATAAGATGGGGGAAAATATGTCTGTGACAGCCAAAGGGGTATACACATACACAAAAATACACTCTCTTCAAGTGGATAAATAACTTTGTGTGAATGTCGTGAAAATTAGAAGTGATAAATTAAATTTAGCCAGTACAACCTATTAAACAGACTGTTAAACAGACTCATTTTCATGTGGAGAAATGAATGTAAATATAGCGTCTACATTGACTAAGGTCTATGGGTAGGGTTGAGCGATTTGTTACTTCAGCTGAGAGGCGTATATGTGGCATTGTCATGACTCATGCGTGTACATAGATGCTCACGCAAACACTGTTTCCCGTTTCCCCTTTTCTGTTCTTTCTCTGTCCAGCTGTGTGACCTTCTATTGGGACAGTAACTGCATGGTTTTTACACATGAAACAGGGATGCATGCAGTTCCACTTTATATTTAAAAAAAATTTATATTAATTAATAATAATAACAAAAATTATTATTATTATTATTCAATCCACAATTAGAAAAGGTTGTAGCGCCAAACACCAAAACCAAAAATCCAGTAGGCAACTAACATAAGGTGCGTAGATCCAAAATATACAATAATATAGAGATGAAAGAGATCCGCACTTGTCCAGATTCAGCCAAAAAGGCTTATTACATTTATTGCTCAGAGGTCAGGTCACAAAAATATGTGCAAACAAGTGCAAATGTGTGTTGATTTTGTGATAGACCCAAGCAGGACTTAAGTGCATCTTTATATGTAATTTCATAATTCTTTTGTCTCAGAAATGATTAAAGCATACTGTATTGATGTGTCAACACACTACAAAATGTACTTCTTTAAAGCATGACAAATGATTATTAAAACATAATGATTTGATTAATACTTTAAAGATAAACCTTTAAAATGACACTATTACACGGTATTCTTTTTAAAAGTGTACGTGTGTTAAAAGACAGTCAAGGAAGTTTTTCTCTTTAAGTACACTTAAATGGCCTTTCATTTTAGTAATATATTATCTGTGAGTACAGTGTTTTGAAATACAGATCTAAAAATACAGATTTTTAGATTTGACTGCAAGTGCACATTCAATACATTTAGTTTTCACACGGACAGACAGACAGACAGACAGACAGATAGACAGATAGATAGATAGATAGATAGATAGATAGATAGATAGATAGATAGATAGATAGATAGATAGATAGATAGATAGATAGATAGATAGATGGATAGATGGATAGATAGATAACAGTCTAATGTTGTCCATATATGTGTTGTATATGTGGCAAGATCAAGCAAATATATTCCTAGTTACACACTCAAATGTCTAGAGGTGTCCCTGTGTGAGACAAACTGTCAAGTCTGGTTGGTTTGAGACGTCTCGTGCTGTCAGACACACACACAAACACACACACAAACAGAGTGGAGCTTCTGGTTATTCAGCTACACATCTTCACGCTCTAGACTGTCAACCTTGCTCAGCGGGATTATTTGTATCTATATTCAACGGTTGAAACTCTGTGTCTCTGGAGATGAAAAGCCTCCATATCACTGCTACAAATATAAAGAGCATGTTGATCTTTCTATAGGGGGCATAATGTGTTCATTTATTTTCATTCAGTTCTAATTATTTGTCATTACTGATACTGGCAGATTTACTTGTGTCACCTAATCTTTCAATTACAAACAACATGATTAGAATATTAGCTTAGATGTGCTATACTTTCCATATAGCAGATATTCTGCTTTAGAAAAACTGTTTTGTTAAATAAATTTCAAACGGCTGAACTAGAAATGCTGGTGGCTCTATGAAGATGCTGCATATTTTACATGTAGTGTTGAAAATGCTGACCCTTAAGGTCAGGAAAGAGCTGACCACCCCATATCTGTTTTCGCAGCCACCCCTCTGTTCTGCTAGGATGTCTCACCAGTGAGTTTCCTCATAAGACCAATTTTTTAAATCAATCTTTATTCCAGGAACACCCATGGCATCTCATTCATGACAACATGAATAACTAATGCTATAAGCTATACATTGTGTGTGCCAATGAAACTAGTATAGAGTCATGTGATCGGGCGCTGTGTGTCTGCTCGTGGTCAGAATGTAGAACAATGGATGTTCATCTCTGTATTCATTATCATAGCCCAGTGTACCCTGGGCCACTGGCTTTTTAGAGACTACTGAATTCAAGTGTCACAAGTACACCAAAAGGTTGAGATTCACTGTCATAGCCGACCTTACCCTGGGCCACTGACTTTTCAGAGACTGCTGAATTCATTATCGCTGTAAGTGTTTAAGTGTCACATTGTAGGTGTTCAAAGAAGAGCATCATTGTAATGCAGACTTTTCTGGAAGGAGAGCACCCAATTATGAAAATTTGCTTAAAATTTACTCTCTGGCCATCCAAGATGTAGATGAGCTTGTTTCTTCTTCAGAACAGATTTGGAGAAATTTTGCATTACATCACGAATGGATCACCAATAGATCCTCTGCAGTGAATGGGTGCCGTCAGAATGAGAGTCCAAACAGCTGATAAAAAAATCCACAAGTAATTCATACGACTCCAAGATGCGTGTTTGTAAGAAACAAATCCATCATTAAGATGTTTTTAAATTCAAACTGTTGCTTCTGGCTAAATTACGAGTCCTCTAATATTGCTTTCTCCAGTGAAAAGTCGTCTCGACTGAATCAAGAGTGAAATATGCACAGATCATCCAGCACAATTTACAAGTAAAAACAGTTCAAAACAGTTCTAAACAAATATATTGGTGGATTTTGATGTGAGAGGACTTTTTCACTTGAGGAAACATTATTATGGATTATGGACTAGTATTTTGGCCAGAAGTGACGGTTTACAGTTAAAACACCCTGATGGATTTGTTTCTTACAAATAGCTTTTCATTTCACAAAACAATAACTGTTAAGCTAGAGTCATGTTGTGGATTATTGTGATGTTTTTATCAGCAGTTTGGACTCTCATTCTAACGGCACCCATTCACTGCAGAGGATCCATTGATGAGCAAGTAATGTAATGCTACATTTCTCCAAATCTGTTCCAATGTTCCAATGAAGTCATCTACATCTTGGATGGGCTAAGCGAGAGTACATTTTGAGCAAATTTTCATTTGGTGAACTATTCCTCTATTCCTTTAAAACTGTAGAATGTAAGTCTGGGTTAGATAACAGCAAGCCATTTCATGGCACTTTCATTATTATGAACACCCAAAGGACAGAGGGAGATAAAAAATAAAGATGAGTAACTTCCTTTGGCCAGTGAAGATAAACAGGGGCTCCAGGCTTGTGACACTAATTAGAAGGTGACTAAAGCAAGAAAGAGATTTATCAGTTCAGACGCTGCTCAGAGAAAAAAAAACAGAGATAAAACAGCAAAGATTCATAACATTTAATGATAATGTAATTAGAAAAATTGAGGCTAGTAACGCTTGAGGCTTCAGTAACACTGCAATGAACCTGCACTGAAAGCTGTCAAAAATGGAGATTATTGATGGACATGAATTACATGACAGATTATAGTCATAACAGTGTCCTTACAATCTACTGTTAAGATCATTCAAAATTATTCAGGGTGATGCAAAGCGCTGTGTTGGTCACCCGTGGTGGGGTGATACTGCAAGCAAAAGACTGCTGAATTCATTATCGCTGTAAGTGTTTAAGTGTCACATTGTAGGTGTTCAAAGAAGAGCATCATTGTAATGCAGACTTTTCTGGAAGGAGAGCACCCAATTATGAAAATTTGCTTAAAATTTACTCTCTGGCCATCCAAGATGTAGATGAGCTTGTTTCTTCTTCAGAACAGATTTGGAGAAATTTTGCATTACATCACGAATGGATCACCAATAGATCCTCTGCAGTGAATGGGTGCCGTCAGAATGAGAGTCCAAACAGCTGATAAAAAAATCCACAAGTAATTCATACGACTCCAAGATGCGTGTTTGTTAAAAAAATCCAAAAGTATCTCAAACGACTCCAAAAATTCAAACTGTTGCTTCTGGCTAAATTACGAGTCCTCTAATATTGCTTTCTCCAGTGAAAAGTAGTCTCGACTGAATCAAGAGTGAAATATGCACAGATCATCCAGCACAATTTACAAGTAAAAACAG